GATTATATCGCATATATTAACTTATTTTTGTATTACCGACGTTTCGAGCACTTTACAGCAACCATGAGCACGGGGGGGGGGGACTGAGATGTTCGACGTCCTAATGTCATAGTTAACCGCAGTTGTCCCAAAAGTTAATAATTTTGGAGGTAGTCGTGGATTGTTTCCATGTCTCGCCACTTACGATACCCACGGGGCGATCAAGGGTAGTAAGTGTTCTTACACCACCACTACATATATTATAAACACATAAGATAGTCAGTCACATCTAATTTTCAGATCTTTTTGATATTTTTACTGACATCTTTTAAAAAATAAGGCTGACTTTCATTCCCAAAAATGCCATCGTGTCATTAACACCTTATATATTTTAGGTCCATATTTTAAGTCCTTAGCTTCAAGTGTCATTCTTTTAAATATTAGTTTTGTGTGTACATCGTATTGGCATTATTACCATGTCAATAAGGATCTCCCAACCCGGACAGAACGAGGGGCATAAGAAAGCAAACAACGAAATGGAATTAAAAATAAAATTTATTTCCAGTTGAATATCTCACAAAACGCCGTACCACACATCAACCTCACAGGCAATGGTCGACTCTACACTAAATTAATATAATAAACAAAGCTCATATATATAAATATATACTACAATATGTAAACGTTATTATGTGCCCGGTGCGGCGTGTTGCGCTGTCACATGACATTGATGAACGAAAAGTGAACTGTCAAAGTGACAGCTAAGTTTATCGTGATGCATTACTTGGTTAAAACTTCTATAAAATGGAATAAAATTTTCCTTACACAATTTTAGTAGTATTAAATGAATTTATCCTGTAATTATATTAATTACAATTTTTTGATTTGAACGAAAACGCGACACGCCGCCCCGGGAGGTCAGATTTGTGATTTTTTTGTAAAAGTATAACACTACTCTTAACTAGATAATAGAAAAGAGACGCGATCGCCGCACGGCTCTCACAACGTACACACATACATCCTATTTTTATATTTATACCTAGTAAGTATGCGGGAACATCACACACAAATAGAAAAAAAGCATCACACCAAATCACAAAAAAACGCCAGATAATCAAAAAACTAAAGGCTGATCGATAACAATGCATTACGATCCGAGTAACAATAAAAACGCAAAAAAAAAACAATATGAAACATGAACGATCAATAATGAACATTATTGCTATACAACTACAAAGTTCAAAATACTTTGATCACAATTACATTATACATCTATCAATTTCACTGTAGTGTGGTTATACCCTATAATGCGTCTAGATTGAGTGTTCAACCCGTAGTGTTTAATAATTAAGAGAACATTTTGACACTTTCTAATTCAGCCTTATAATTAGAAAGAGACAACCGCAGTGGGCGACCGCGTTATTATACGACCATTTTATGTATACACCGACACATGAATCAAAACGGCGGTTACCGAAACTCCGAATTTGATAGTTTAAGCACTGTCGCTCCGTATTCAAATGTGGCACCTCACATATCGTATAAAATTAAAATTATATTTTTGTATAAAATAACTATGCTGAAATTGAATATTTGCCGCCTAAACGGTGATATTTCATTAAAAAATTATTCGTTGAATTTTTTTTTGAAAGTTACCAAGTGACGTCAAAACTACCAAACTGGTAACGGCAACATCGCCCACAGAACGCATACATACACACAGTACTAGCGGCCAAGTATTAACATAAAACTGGTAGCACATCATTAATTTACAATGACATAAAATATCGGTAATATGAACATTACATCGTAATAAACGACAGCCATATTCTTTTGTATATTTATATTTGTCATTACAGTTGAAAAGAAATTATTAATAATAATTAACACTAAGCTAAATTGTAACTTGAGCGCAAACTCACTTTGTACATTGTTACACGATAAAATTCACAGTGTGATAAGAAAAGCGACAGCACGAGTAAAATTGGAACGATGTGGCCGGCGTGAAAAAAAATTGAACGTCTTTTTAGAAAAATCATATTAAAACGGCTTAAACATGCATTTCATAATTCTTTACAAATAAAAATAAAAACATAATAAATAATAGTTAAAAAAAGAGATTTAGTTTCTCACGCTGGTAACACCGAACCGTCGCGACTTATCTACATACAAAATAAATATGGAGTGTAGAAGTAAAGAGTACAGACTGTGTATTAAAAATGTCCATAGAAAACCGTTAAATAAGCGTGGCGCCACTATAGCTACGGGGTAAATTTTAAAGAACGTGCCGAAATATATTAGTAGGATAGACGACTTTTTCGAGGTTATATTTACAAATTAAAATTATTTTTAGATTTTAGAGCTACTGAGCAGTTTAGCAGAACACTTCAAATCGTCGACAACTGCTAAGTTCATTTCATCCCAGTAGCTACTCCAGCGCTGTTGTGGAGAATTTTTGAGCTGTTATTTACTGCTTACAGATGACCACTTTTCCAACCATTCTATTATGGGAGTTGGTACTTCTTACTTCTACACTCCATATAAAGAAAGAATAAAAAATTCTCGAACAAAATTCAAATTATATCATATTTTATTATTTATACAATCAATGAGGCGACGTTATTGAGAGCGATTAAAAATTTACTTAAAATGAAACATTCTGGTTTCCCGCGACATTTACTCGAGCATAAATCTCAAATGTTGTTCTGACACCTTTAATTGGCACATGACTGTTCTACCCAAAGCAGTAAATGACTAAACCTTAAGTCGTACAATATGTATCGTAAAAAAAACATTATTTATTTACTTTAGTAATGTAATAAGTTGGGAGATTTTAGAAATAGTCTGACAGCACTATTATTCGATACAATGAATTATTAACTCATTAAATTATACAAGATTGTCTATAATATTATGATTAATTTTTGTAAGAGTCCGCGAATCCAACCGCTTGTAGTCCGCCATTGTTTCGCCATGAATAAGGCCATAAGGAGACTTTGATATAAAATTGTTAAAACGTATTACAAATTGATTTTATATTCGATAAAAATAATTTAAAACTATAAACACAACAAATATGTAGCATACTTTTATATTTAGTTTAAATATAGCAAAGGCCGGTGTTGTACTTTAAACATTTTGTCATTCTACCAAGTGTATGATTGTGCAAGTGGACGAAATTTTCAAGAATTCTATTTTAGTAATTTAAAAATAAATACAGAGAGTATTGTTTTATCTAAAATTTAATAAGTAGTTTTGATTAACGGCCTTTGCCGCACCTCTAACCAATTTTTAATAATAAAAAATGGTTGAATGTGTAAATAAATGTTTTTTTTAAATGGTATAACAATTTATTGCAATAAAAATAATAAATAAACAATGTGATTGACAAATATGATTTCTTTGTTTAGATTTATAAACATAGAAATTAATTTTTCGAATCATTATCCTGTCGTATACAAACAAAATTTAAGATTAAGTTAACATTTATGTAGGAAAATTAATTCATAGTAAAAGTGCCGGGTGTGAAACAATTATTTATATATTTATTTTATAGTAATAATTGCAATAAATTCCGTTAATTTTGATTATAAAAGTAAATCAAAATATAATGTTTCTAGTGGTATTACACCAAAATTTGCCAAACGTTGAGTGAGATGTTTGTCAATTGACAAATGAAAAGACTAACTAGGCTGTGTTTCCGTTTAAATTTGAAGAGTAAAAAAGCATCTTAAAAAGCCTGTATACAACACGTAACATAATTAACGCACTTTGAGAAAGTAGTTTGTTCAGAATCGTTTACTGAATCGATTCCTATCATTTTAATATAGGTAATTTTTTATCCCAAAAATAATTAAAACTACGTAAATTATAGTCACACTAAATCTGTACAGTCAAAACACACTGAAATGGACCGTAACTTAAGGCAATAAGACTTTTAAGAGTGCAGTTTTATTGTAGTATTACTAATTCTGTCATTCAATAAAAATAAAGAAAAATGAACTTTATTTCAAGCACGTTAAAGTCTTTGCGTTCGTGGATTTGTACTGTGACCACAACATTCTTCCGGAATTAGTATAACTAATTTGATAAATAATCAGTGCATAGAAATGTTTAACTAAAAATTCAGTGTATGTATTATGATTATAACATAATATACTAATTGGGGTGTCTGAGGGCGTGCGTTAATTACGTTACATATTGTATATGTATGTATGTGAGGTATTTCATCTTAGTCCTCAGAGGTGACAATATATCTGCGATCTTCGTGTTTGACATTGGTTACAGGTATCGAAGAGCTGCAGGTATCGCCACAAATTGACTGTTAGCCAGTTTATCCTCAGTTTATAAAAAAGTCATCAATAACAAATAAGCAATTGATATAGGATGTTGCAATTTTTCTATACAATAATATTTTTTATATTTTTCATCAGCCTGTAAAGTTCTCCTGTCGGATATGTCTCTCCCGTTGTAGGGAGGATTAACTTCAGTCTTCACGCTTGGCCGGCAGATCGAAAATCTCACTTTCAGAATCGCACAAGTGCAGGGAACCTGAGACCCTTATTACTAGTAACGGGGCATTCGTTTTAGTTCTCAGAGGTGACAACGCATCGGCCTTTTTATTCTTAATCAAGGATAGATTTAGATGTTTATGGATCACAGTGGACTTGGTGGGTTTGTCACCCCCATTCTATTTAAAAAAGACGTCTCGCTTCTGACTTGATTACAAACTTGAATGACTAGGTATGATAATTAGATAGTAGTAAAAATTAATACAATTTAAAACAGTGTAAAAGTGATTTTTTTTTATAATTTTGTATATCAAAATTTATTATACCACGTTTTTTTCTACATTGTCATTTGATTCTGAGCTATGTTCAAAATTTCAAGTTTCTAGCTAATCGGAAAGTGTTCGACAAACAAACAAACAAGAAAGTGACTTAATAAAAATTTGGTTAGAAAAAACCGGCACTTTTACACAGAATTACGCGACACGCGACACATGAGCGTGATCCGAACTGATGTCGAACAGTCAGAAATCGAAGTTTTCCGGCGGGGGTATGGGGTGGTGGGGCAGGCAGTCGCACGCGGGCCGGCGGAGCGTGTGCACGCTGCACGAGAGCGCGGGCGGGGCGTGCGGCGGGGCGGGTGGCGGAGCGGGCGGCGGCGCGTGCAGCGACAGCGACGAACGTGGCTGCGGCCGCGAGCAGTCCACGGCTAGGTAGTGCTGCAGGGTGCCCGCAGGCGTAGTGGCACCGCCGTTGGCCACCGACACCAGCTCCTCGGCTGACAGACGCAGGCTGTCACTACGCAGCGGCGGTACTGGACCTTCGCACTAATACAACAGAATACAATCATTTTCATTCAATATACATTATAATAACACTTACTGAGTCATTTAAGTTTTACCAGTTCGAAGAAAACCTTTGTCCTGGGAAGAACCAGCAAGAAACCCAACGAAATTATTCAAAATATAACGTTTTATACAATTGATATGAAGATATTAGAAACAACATGGTGGCGATCGCCTCATCCCCAGGAGTTATTATCAATAATGTACTCTTTAGTAGTATTATAATTAATAAACACTACTAAACAATTTCTGTTCAATAAAAATTTTTAACCCCTTGATACTTTATTTTAAAAGCACATACATTGACCCACTAAGGAATTACTAACTCTTTGGAATCGAATAACCGGTATGATTTACTTCTACTTGTTCCTAATATTTACAGAATGTACATAACTACTTTAACAATAAAAGTAAAAGTAGTTATGTACATTCTGTAAATATTAGGAACAAGTAGAAGTAAATCATAGTGAATGGGGCACTACACTCTATTGTGAAGAACCAGAATGTGTCAAAAAAGGCACGTATGGTAATTCATAATGCTGTGTTAGTCCCTACTTTAATGTATGGTAGTGAAAGCTGGGTGTGGCAGAAGAAGCACGAAAGTAGAATAAATGCTGTAGAAATGCGGTCTTTAATGAGTATGCTAGGGTTGAATCTGAATGACAGGGTGAGAAATTGCGTGATAAGAGATAAATGTGGTATGCAAGATGATGTTGTGACCAGGATTAAGAAAGGAATGCTTCGGTGGTTTGGTCATGTAGAAATAATGAATGAGGAAAGAGTGACAAAGCAAATTTATATGGCAGATGTGAACGGCCGAGTCGGGAAGGGACGCCCTAGAAAAAAGTTTATCGACCAAATTGGCATATTTTGAAAAGGGGCCACGTTAGAAGTACCCTTAACCGACGAGCATGTATGCGTAGAAGATATATGGATGTATAGGAGGCGAAAGAGGTGTCAGGATCGTGCCAAATGGAAGTCCGTAGTCTCTGCCTACCCCTCTGGGTGACAGGCGTGAGTGTTTATGTATGTATGTACTTTTACAATACAATACTCTTTATTATTGTTCACCAACAAAACAAAAACATAACAAATAATGAACAAACAATGAGGGAAAAACGAAAGGTGGTCCTATTTTTATCTATTCCAGACAACCCAGAAGAGGAAATTTTTAATAAAACTATTTTTTGTTTTTCACCATATGCACTTCCAAATCATTCAAGTGTTTCGTGATTCGTTCAATACGTGGTAGAGCCACATTGGAAGGACACAAGGTTGACTCCGGAAAAACCGAGCTCTCACAGAATACCAGCGTTAAATAGCTGCTTGTAACGAGGCATTCCATTTTAGTCCTCAAAGGTTGCGTTGCGTTCTCTGCGTCAGCATTTTCGTCATTTATTTATTAATCCAGGATATATTTATGTGTCAAAGTCGTCACTTATCATCAGGTAGTCTGTGTACTCGTGTATCATCTTACTTCTAAAAATAAATCGGCGTCAATGTTTGTTAAGACTAGAGTTTATAAAGGAATAAATTTTTAAAGAGTTGCCAACTATAAAAACCTACAACTGTTTCAATGATGTAAAGAATACAAAAAATACGTTCTAAATAACTTTTCATCTAATTTTAAGCCAAGTTGTGACGTCGCGTCGCGTTTTTTTTTCGGTTTAATTCGGTGAAAAGTGGATAAGTCACACCTCCAGACTTTTATTTGTGGGCCGAACTAAAACGATTAGTGTACACAAAAGAAGCACAAAGTGTTAGTGATTTAAAGCAAAGTATAATAGACGCATTTAATGTGATAAAATGTGATACAGACACGCTTTGAAGTATAACAAGCAATTTACAACGACGTGCTAGTTTGTGTTTAGAAGGAGACTCTAGACATTTGGAACAATTACTGCGATATCGTTAAAAAGGTAAAAATTATTTGTAAATAACAACAATGTAGTATAATTTTGTAAACATCAATCAGTGTAGTTTGTAAATAAGTTGATTTCGATCTTTTAAATACGCCAAGATGTTGCAGTATAAATTACTATTAGAAACTGCTTATCAATTCACTATAACGCTAGATAACATTAACCATGTAATTCTACTCAACTACAGCATATTAGACGGTCCTAAGCCCGTAAAAAAATGAAGAAAGGATCGAAATCACAAGAATAATAATCTGAAACGAAAAGTAAAATTTCCCCACTTATCATTTACTGTTTCACATTTTTTTTGCTATTTACAAACATGCGACACGCGACGGCTTTGTTAATGAAATAGTGGCAATGAGAAGTGCTGCTATTTTAAATCTATTTGTTTTATGGACTAAGTATTTTATTAATATCCAGCGTATTCTGGATCTTGAATTAGTAGACAGTAAGTAGACCTCCCACTACTTACACTGAACGATTTAAGGTCATTGACATCAAACTCAAAAAACGACCACCAACCGACCACTTTACGTGTTTTTTGAGGCACGGGGGTGAGACACCGCCAATTTTCTGACTCCGGGCAGCTACTGACAATTTCTTGACGAAAAAACTCTATAAGTTGACTTTTTTTGTCCCGACCTGGTTTACGAACCCAGGACCTTATGATCAGCTGTCACACTACTACAATTACTAGACCAACGAGGAAGTCAAAATCAAAAATAAATATCAAGTGCCTAAATACTAATAACAGAAAAATAATTTTTGGTAACGTAAGGCGCAGCGTCAGCTGATTCTAAAAATGTTGGCTGCAACGATATGTCAGCCGCTCCCCTCCCACTCGGCCGCCTAACGCCTACACAATGAAAGATGTGCATGCCTCTCGCTCCCTCTTACAACTTTCATTCACTAGCGATCGTAGCCTATTTTTTAATTTTACGCAAACGCCGTAGGATAAATTATTCTAATTAATTTTTTGTATATTCGGAAATTTTACCTACTAGATAGGCAAAATTTTATATTTTGTTATATTTTACAAATACTTTCGAAGATAGATTCTAATTCCACTTCCACAAAACATCATATTATTTTCCAGACGGTAAAAATAGTGACTATTTTTACCGTGTAATTACTAGTTTCAGAAAGCATTAAAAAAAACAATTCTGTTTAAAATTCAAAAGGGGGTTTTCGAATAAAATAAATGTTTTATTTAAAACTTATGAAAACACCATGTATAACAATGACCTTTATGAGCAGGAACGACACTTTCTTTAATTTGTTAGCCCTTTATTAACCCTATTGACATCCGTCTACATCATCATCATCATCATTACAGCCCTTCACAAGTCCACTGCTGAACATAGGCCTCCGCCAAGCAACGCCACAAAGCACGGTCATGAGCCACCTGCATCCATCGACTTCCTGCATGTCTTACCAGGTCGTCACTTCATCTAGTGGGGGGTCGCCCTACACTACACCTACCGGTACGAGGCTGCCACTCGAGAACCTTTCTTCCCCATCGGTTATCGGTTCTTCGAGCTATATAGCCGGCCCATTGCCACTTCAGCTTACTAATCCGTTCGGCTATGTCGGTCACTCTGGTTCTACTGCGGATATCCTCATTTCTGAGTCTATCACGCAGAGAAACTCCGAGCATAGCCCTCTCCATAGCTCGCTGAGCGACCTCGAGCACCCTCATACGGCCAGCGGTGAAGGATCACGTCTCTGATCCGTAAGTCATCACTGGCAACACGCACTGGTTGTACACTTTAGTTTTCAGAGATTGAGGTATACCTAACGTGAAGATGTGTCGTAATTTCCCGAACGCTGCCCAGCCGAGTTGAATCCGTCGATTGACCTCTCGGTCGAAGTTGGACTTACCTAGTCGGACTATTTGTCCCAGGTAAACGTACTCGTCAACAACTTCGAGCATAGTGCTCCCAACAACTACCGGCATAGGTGTGACATGGACATTAAACATGGATCTTTGTTTTGTCCATGTTCATCTTAAGACCTATCCGTTGGGAGACACCATTGAGGTCATTGAGCATAGTGCTAAGGTCCTCCAGCGATTCTGCCATAAGGACTATATCGTCGGCAAATCGAAGGTGAGTGATGTACTGGCCATTGATGTTAATACCGTATCCTTTCCAGTCCAGTAGCTTGAAAACGTCTTCCAACGCAACGGTGAAGAGTTTCGGGGATATAACGTCACCCTGTCTTACACCTCTCTGCAGTTGGATACGCTTCGAACTCTGGTTCTGTACTCGGATAGCCATCGTAGCCCTACTGTACAAACACTTCAGCACTTCGATATACCGACAGTCAACTTGGCACCGCTGAAGGGACTGTAGCACCGCCCAAATTTCGACGGAATCAAAGGTTTTCTCATAGTCCACATACGCCAGACAAAGTGGCAGATTGTATTTCTTGGTATTCTGTACAATCTGCCGCAGGGTATGTATGTGGTCTATGGTACTGAAGCCTTTTCGGAAACCGGCTTGTTTGGGAGGCTGGAAGTCGTCGAGTCTGCGTGCGAGACGATTCGTAATGACTCTCGAAAACAGCACGTAGACGCGGCTCAGAAGGGAAATCGGTCTGTAGTTCTTCAAGAGAGCGTTCAATTCTGCTCCACGCCTCTGGAGTAGTGCCACCATGGAGGACGGAATTGAAGAGCTTCTGAAGGACTTCAAGTACCGGTGTTCCACCCGCTTTCAGAAGCTCCGCTGTAATTCCATCCTCGCCTGGGGCCCTGCCATTTTTAAGGTGCTGGAGAGCCATTCTAATCTCGCTCAGACTGACGTCCGGGATATCATCGGAATAGTGTCGGGTAAGACTTGCTCTTGGATCGTTACTCACACTTGCGTGTGGCTCCAACGATGATGTGTACAGCTGCCCATAGAACCTCTCAATCTCACTCAAAATCTCCTGTGTCTCGGAAACGATGCTGCCACACTCAGTCTTCAGCTTTGACAGTTGGCTCTTTCTGGCAGACAGATCTCTGGCAAAGACTTTGGAGACCTGGTTCCGCTCGATCGCTTCTTTAATACGAGCAGTATT